CCCATCCATCCATCCATCCATCCATCCACCCATCCATCCATCCATCCACCCATCCATCCACCCATCCATCCATCCTTCCATCCCCCATCCATCCATCCATCCATCCATCCATCCATCCATCCATCCATCCATCCATCCATCCGAGAAAGGGTCTCACTGTGTTGTCCTGGCTGCCTTGATCTTCCAGTGCTGAGCTGCCAGGGAAACATATACGTCATATACACATACATATAATTTATGGACATGAAAGACCCCACTGGAACCAATATTAAAACTGCTTTCATCAAGGCACTGTTTCATCCTCGAATAGTAAAATAGTCGACACGGTTCTCTCGCTTGGAATCGAAAGGCCTCCGAAAACCAAAAGTACTTCAACTGTAATCCCTGAAGTTTTCGCCAAGCAGCTCCAGCTTGGAGCAGCAGCCGGCTCAGTCCTTGGCTGGCTCGCTTTCGCCCTGATCTATAGTTCCCAGGACATAGCGGAGACTTCTGGCTGCAGACGCTGGAAAATGTAACTCGGAATTTCCTACAATCTCAGCTCCACTTTCTCTCAGGCGCCGGCCCCCAGGTTGGAGCCTTGTTATTGTCACGTGGCCGAGGGTGCCAGGCGGGCCAATGGGCGCGCGCCCGCCTCCGCGCCCCGCCTCGCCGCTCGGCCGCGCCTGGACTTCGCGCCCCGCCGCCCGCCGCAGGCGGAAAAGTTTCTCCGCGGGCGATCGAGCTCTTGGACGCCGCTCGGGCTGCCCGCGCCGCCACTGGCCGTCCTCCGCTGCTGGCTCTCCCGCTGCGCGCGGGCATGCGAGGCCTTCAGCGCCGGGACTGAGCGGCGAGGAGCGCGCGGCCGCGATCGGCGTGTCCAGCCTCGCCTGGGAGTCGGTGCTCGTCCAGGCTCGTCGCGGGGCGCGAGGCTGCGGAGCTCCAGGCCGAGCCGGAGGCGGCGGGGCGCGCGGCGATGGGTGCTCCCGGGCTCCGAGCGGCGGCGGCGGCGCTGGGGCTGCTGCTGTGCGCGGGGCTGGGGCGCGCGGGCCCAGCGGGGCGCGGAGGCCACCGGGCGCCCGCGCTGCTCTCGGGCGATGCTGCTCGGCGCCCGTGCCCAGCCGCCTGCCACTGCCTAGGGGACCTGCTAGACTGCAGCCGCCGCCGGCTGGTTCGCCTTCCCGATCCTCTCCCGGCCTGGGTCGCACGGCTGTGAGTATCGGTATCATTCCTGTGGAGTGGAGGGGACCGGCCCGCCAGGGGTGCGGGACGCGATGAGTCCTCCAAGGCTCGGGGCTCGGGCGCAGTGTGCAGCGCTTAGGCCGCGAGTGGATCCCGCGGGGTACTCAGCCTCCGTCTGCATCCGCTCAGGTGGGCTCTTGGCTCGCCACTCTGAACTTTGGTGGTTTTCTTTTGAGTTTATGTAGGAAACTGGCCCAGCCGTAGCTTCTCAGAGGTTAAGGTCCCTGCGGGTCGCAGTCACTGCATGCGCGCTTCTGACTTAGTACCCCTTGCTGTGGTGCAGACTTTTCTTCTTCCTCTCCGCCTCCTGTGCTTAATTTCACATTAGCGAACCATCAGCCTCCCTCCCGGGCCACTTTGTAGTGCGTCTCGGTTCCAGTGAGAAGTTGGGTGCGAAGGCTGATCGGATAGTCAGAGGGTTTTCAGAGCGAGATCTTCTGCAGTAGCCCTGGGAAGGTTTAGGGCAAGCGCTGAGCATTGTTTTGGCGAATTTTAGCTAGAAAGCCTGAAAACCCAAAGTCACTTCCAACTGTGTGGAAGAACACGGAAGAAAATATAATTTACTTGGAAATACGAATCCTTACAAATGTCAGCTCTCCTTATTCTCTCCCAACCTCTAATTTTGTTAAAATTGGAGGGGGTGTTTAAGCCATAAGCAAAAGTTGTGTTTAAAAAAAAAATAGTTGTCCCGTTTAAAAGAAATCAAAGTGCACTTCATACTTAAATCTTAAATCTTAAGGCCTAGCAGAAATTATCAGCTCTTAAACAATCGTCGATCCTGAAAACAGTGGCCGAAGCTTCGATCAGGCGGCTGAAGAAGTCGTGTTTTTGAACCAGTGTCCTAACCTAAGTTCTTCCATCAGTTTATAAACTGTTGGCCACCAAACAACACGCTCGTTTTGAAAAGCAGTTTAATAAGGAAATAGAATTAACGAGAATTGGATTGATATTTAATGGCTGATTATGGGATGCCTGATGTAGCAGCTTTTATTACTCGTGAAGGGGGAGATAAAGACTTGAGCCTAAAGCAAGACTTTCAATTAGTTGTGGCTAATTCCATTCAATTGCCTCTTGGAGGAGTGGGGGGTCGTCCTGCTGCATTCATGAAGGCAGAATGGCTCCATTGACAACATATGGAATGGAACATGGGAATGCCTGGAGGTGAACACCCATGGATAACAGGGAGGAGAGAGAAAACAAGATTGTGTTTCTCTGGAGTGCCTTTAAATGCCTACCAACTCTAACTTTATCCTTTATGGCAGTTTCTCAGTGACAGGGGACCCATGGAATGCTGTCAGCACACAGCACTGTGTTTCGGAACTTTAGATGCATTTCAGAAAACTATATGGAAGTTGAGTTGAATCAAGGGGGGCGGGGGATTCAATACCTATTTAAACATTCTTAAAGGGAGCTGACCTAATTAGGATTTTGTTTTTCAGATAATTTGGTGGCACACTAAAAACAAATTACAGTTTATTTGGTTAGCACAGTCTTTAATTACATTTCCGCCGGTAGTAAATTGTCTCAATACAAGTCTCCGTTCCTTAAATGTATGTGAAAATCCATCCCACTTGTATAAATAAGCTCCAGGTCTGTTGTCAGAAGCTCTGCTGTGCTAGTTCCTCAAACAGCCTCCCCATTCTTGTACTTTTGTGACTTCTGACCATCCCTTTCTTTAGGTGCCGCCTAACCATGTGGTCTTAGCGTCTTTATTGTCAGTGTTTTCTTTGTTCTCTAAGCTCTAGAGGTCTGTTCTCCACCTCAGAGAAGAGCAGAAGGCAATGTGCAATTTAGTTCCCCCTCCCCCGTTATCTGGTATATTGCTCTGGGAGGTGTGTGCTGCTAGTTAACCTGACACAATTACAGAAGCTCTTAAGGAGATGGCTTCCAAGGCCAGGGAGTGAGTAGAAAATATGTGTTGTTCACTACAGCAATCCTTTCCTTGGGTTACTAAGATAGCTAAAGTTTGTCTTTGGGATAGTTTATGAGAAAGTTCAGGAAATTATGCTGTGTGTCTTTTGTTTCCTTTGTTGAATTTGCAAGTTAGGAATGTATGTGTGTGTGTATGTGTGTGTTTCCCAATTTACCCCAGTTGTCCTTTATTGCCTTAGGAGAGCCTTATGTGGAAAGCTGAATAGTTGGGGCCAAACAATAAGGCAGCTCTGCTGCCTTCTGCTTTCAGAAGGAACCTGCAGTTCTTTAATGAAAGTGGCTGTTAGAGAAGTAACTGCTGGAGCCTGACTCAGGAGAGCTTTGTGTGTGCCTCTCCAGAGCTTTCTGAGAACTTGGTGTGTGCCTCTCCAGAGCTCTCTGAGAGCTTTGTGTGTGCCTCTCCAGAGCTCTCTGAGAGCTTTGTGTGTGCCTCTCCAGAGCTCTCTGAGAACTTGGTGTGTGCCTCTCCAGAGCTCTGACGCTAGAGACGGGGCTTGTGAAAATAGGTTATTTAGCCAAAGGCGGGAAATTGCTTGATTGCCAGCAGGAACCTCGAGTGTTATTAATTTTTAGCTGGAATTTCAGATGATTTATCTTATCACATAGAAAAGTTTGAGCTCTTCATAGGGCTGAGGCGAAAGTCCAAAAGGTGGTGTGACTTCTTTGGTGTCGGCCTGTTATGAATCTTCTGGAACAGAGAACAGTTGGGGGTGGGAAGGGAATAATAGTCCTGTGGAATATGGTTTCCACAGCTGTTTCTCTATATTTTCCAGACCCAAACTCGAGCATAGCAGGCTGATTTACGAGTCGCTTTGGATCAGTGTTTTGAAATTGCTACAGCCTGCCTTTTTGTTTTTTTGGTTTCCAGATTTCTGCTGAGTTAGCAGCTTGGCAGGCCCCTGTGGGATTGATTAAGAAGCTTCGCTGTATTTGTATTTTCAAATTTGAGATGGAAGTCAGATTTCCAAATGCTTAAAAAGAAGAAAACGATAGCTAGAACCAAATGTTGCAAAAATCAATAATTTTCACATATGCTCATTGGCTTGATAAAATGCAGAGTGACCCTACCATATACAGCAAGGCAAAAGCCATACCTTCGCCCAGTGGCTTCTGGAGAGTTAGCACCTCACCAACTTTCCCATCTGTTGACCTTATCACAGCAAGTCTTTAAAAAAAAAGTTTCCTAGGGAAGGTGCTTTTTCATGGAACTTCAGATAATGATGAATCTACCCTCCTTATTGAATGGTTTCTGTCCAAGGTTCAAGACAACACAGGCATTGTATCTCCCAAATCTCTCTTTAGTGCTCCAGTCATAAAAACAGTATAGGAGAGATGCAGGAAAATGTGGCATCCTCTAAAAGGAAGGCAATTATTTCTGAAATGTATATTACTTTAAATCTAAATTTAGGTAAATTCAAAGTTCCATGGCTTTAAGTATTTAGCAGTAAAAGTCACTTAAGTGCTTTTTTTTTTTCTCCCACATATAGTGTGGTTTTAATAGTGTACAGAGCTCAGGATGGAAGCATTTGCACTAAGATCTGTGTGGCTGCCAGCACCTGCTGGAGGACATGAAACCAGTGTGCCTAGAATGTGCACTGGGCTGAAGGCTGATTCCCTTTTGTTGGGGGAATCTCATCCCATTACTCATTGGAAAACTCTGAGCACTCAAATCTCATTTCTCCCAGGATCTCTGTGAAATAAACCTTCCAGGGAACAGAGAGCAGTTCTTAGCTTTTCTTTTCTTTCTTTTAATTTAAAAGAAAATCAACTGTATTAAATGTAAATAGCAGATTGGTCCCCCTGTGCTTTCAAACACAGGAAACAATGGCTGTGTGGGGGGAGCCTCAGCATTCTTGAGTTAAGTAGGTCCAAATGACTCTTCTGTAGAGTGAGGCTAAAGTCCCAGGTGGAGGACTCTTTGCTCCGTGTGTTTTAAACCATGTGGGCAGTCTGCGTCTGTCTGGGGTGCTAAAGCACACAGGTTTTGTTTGACTGCTAACGTGAGTCGTTGGGCTCATGGCTTCCTTGATGAACTCCAGATGGACTTGGGCTGGCCTGTGAGGGAAAGTGTCTGGCTCCAGTCAGCGTGGTGAGCGTGCACAGCAGTGGTTGTAATTGCAGGATTTTTATAGTTTCAAACTGAGCCAGATTTTTTTTCCTCCTTCATGTTATAACTCCACCAGAACAAATCTACTCATGTCTGTTACTGTCTGGTAGGTCTTTAAGCAAACGGAGCTTGAATAAAATCTTTGCAAGTTGTTTTTTTAAAAGTTTGTTTTAAGGTGAAATACATCAATCAGGGCTTACTCTCAAAACAAGAAGTTTGGAGAATGACAGAATCTTTAATTTTGAATTGTCAACTAAACAAGAAGTAACACTTTCTCTGGGTCTGTGAGTTCAATTTTTCTGTTACTTGTGGGAGCACATTCTCACGTACGTAACGTGACTCATGCTTGTCAGCAGCTAACTTCAGTTTTCTAAAACCTTGGTTCTTTAAAAAGCTTCGTTTTAAACACTGAAGAATTAGCTTAGGACCAGCTTGCCTCTTGCAGAGGGGAGCTTCCAGCCACAGGCTTGATCCTGCCTTCCAGAGGCTGTTTCGCCCATTTCATCCTCATTATAGTACTTTGGCTGCCTGTAGACAGGATGTTGAAACGTTTGTTGGATTTTGTCCCTCATTTAAAATCTTGATGCAGGGTAGACCTAGCCCGTCCCAGCCCAGAACACTGATCCACCTGACTTTTGACTGAGCCTTTTGGTTAAAAGCGCATTTCTGTGTTATATCCTTTTGAGCATATATACATTCAGGGATGTGTGTGTGCCTGAGCACACCCCGTACAGGAATCTAGCCCCTTAAAACAGAGAAACAAACAAACACCCATGGATGGCAACCGGCCCTCTCTGACTGCAGTAAAGACATTGGTACCTAATTTTGTGATAATAAACTATTTCTTCGCAGTACTTGTTTCAGTAACCTGCCTAATTAGACACTTTTCATAGTCTGTGATGTCATTGTATGAAGTTGGGAGTGGGGAGATGAGAGGCTGAAGCAAACTACAGTTCACAAAGATCTGTTCACCATGTGCCAAAAAGTCTCTCTTAAAATGCTTGTGGGCTTCAAGTATTTGAGTCTGCCAGTCTCTTAAACTAACTTTGTCCTCAAAGTTTGTCATTTCGAGTTTGGCATTTGGTTGCCATTTAATTTGTGGACAGAATGGTCCAATTATTTCTCTGCTTGTCACTGGTGTTAAGAGAGAGAATTCAAAACCTCTGCCTAGTTGGTCATTAAGTGATATTAGTGACATTTAAGAAACTACTTGAAATATTACTTTTGTTTTCTTACAGGGACCTGAGTCACAACAGATTATCTTTTATCCAGACAAGTTCCCTGGACCACCTTCAAAGCCTTCGAGAAGTGTGAGTTCTACTTATTTTCTTTTTGAGGGTTGCATAAAATATTTTCCCCTTGGTGCTGGGCATGGTGGTGCATGCCTGTAATCCCAGAACTCTGGAAGGCAGAGTCAGGAGGATCTCTGTGAGTTTGAGGCCAGCCTGATCTACAACATGAGTTCAGGATAGCCAAGACTACACAGAGAAACCCTGTCTCGGAAAAAAAGAACTTCCTTGGAACTTATAACTGGGTGATGCCTTCGAATTTCCGATGGCCTAATTAGCGTCTCCTGTTCTTTTGGCTTCACAGGAAGCTGAACAACAATGAACTAGAGACCATTCCAAACCTGGGACCAGTCTCTGCGAAGGTTACACAGCTCTCCTTGTAAGTGAATGTCAGCACCGTTCCCGTGCATGTTCTGTAAGAGCAGCAGGTGTCGTCTACAGGGCTTCTCAGAGTCGCAACCCATTTGGGTGGCCATGTCAGATATCTATGTCATAATTTGTAACACTAGCAAAATTACAGTTGTGAAGTATCAGCATAATAATTTTCCCATTGAGGGGAAGTCAGCACAACATGAGGAACTGTACTGAAGCATCACAGCATTAGGACTATTCCCAAGGCATAATAAAGAAGGCCAAGAGGCCTAATGTAAATATAGATTAACTTGTTTCCACTTATAATTCTCAAGTATGTATGTATGTATGTATGCATGTTGGCATGCGTGAATGTATTTTGGTGTGGGCATGGAACCCAGCTCTTGTTTGCTAGACAATCCATTAAACTACATCCCCCTCAAACATTCTATGTTCCAGCAGGTTTAACACACTCTACACCCTACTGCTTTTGCTACTGTGGTCTCTGGGATTGAAAGAAGATACTTTAAACTTTGATTATAATCTGTTGACTAGAACTTAAATTCTGGCATTGCTAGCGGTTGGTATAGGAACTGCTATGGTGCATTATGATTGTGTTTGTACAGAATGATCAGACTTACTACTGTGTGAGAATGGGAGTTGGCCATTGCCATGGAGGCATCGTCCTTTTTTTAAGCTATGTGTATATGTGGATTTGTGCACATGTGAGTACAGGTGCCCTTAGAGTCCAAAAGAGAGCACTAGATCCCCTGGCTCAGTTACCAGCTGCTGGAGGTAGGTGTTGGGAATTGAATGAGGGTCCAATCAAAAGCAGAATCTGCTCTTAACACAAGCCATCTCACATTAGCTCTTAAGTACGGCTCCTGGTATGGGATCAGGGTTAGAAACTCCAACTAAAAATGACAACTTAGGCAGTTAAATCAGTAAGTGAAGTCAAAATGTTAGTTTGCAAAGTTTTCAGATACAATTAAAATTGTGTCAGTTTTTTTCTGTATTTTCAGTGCGTTTAATAAAATGCTTATATTGATGTATCTGAGACCAGCTTTGGGGCCATCTTGTCCTTGCAGTATTTAAAAGTAGCATTTCATATGTTCCAGCAGGTTTAATTTCTAAAATTAAGACATTCCCATTTTGATCTGAGCAATTAAATAGTTTACTTGTCTCTGAAACTAAAACATATTCTTTTAACAGCTTGATAAAACCCACCATTGTTCCTTTTTTTCTAGTAAGGGTGTGGGGAGGGTTGAAGTTATATAGTAAATTTCAGGCAAGCTGGTCAATTAATTAAAGTGATCACTCTCCAATTGCTTACATCTGGTGATTTATAGCGGTTTGTTTTTACTGAAGGCCCAGGTCAGCCAAGTCACCCTGCAGCCGCTCTGTCTGCTTTCTTCTGTTTGAATAAGAGCTAAGTGGCATTTGATACTGTGGTTTCTCCACAGATCAGAACCAGAAACGAATGAAAGAAAAGGCTCTTGGTATTTATCAAATAAACACTGAATTAAAAAAAAAATGAAAGTTTTCATATTAGTATTAATACCTATTTTCTTTGTGTTTTATTGGCATCTGAGCAGAAGGTGTCTTTGTAGCATTGCGAGTTATTTTTGACTGACCAAGACAGCTCTTCAAAATTTCTCTTTTTCCTGGCATCTTTGTCCTCTGTTTTGGCAGATTCTATCAACATGCTTAAGAGCCCAGCACAGTGGTGGCTGAGGGTCTGCAGGGTGGATTTTGCTCTGGGTACAGTGGGCTAATAGTTTGCAGTGTGGCATGGCAGAGAGTTGAAAGCCTAAGAGCATGCAAGGAAGTTACGAAATTCTCTTGGAACTAAACAGCAACGATCACACCTCTGAATGCTGTCACTTGTAGCTAGAAAGCTAAAGGCTGGAAAGTTATGAATTTATAAAGGCTGCAGGGAAAGTTATGAATTTACCACGTGCTGTTTCTGTATGTGTTTGGCTTTAGTGAGTCTGTGTGTCAAATTAGCCTCAATAATCTTACCTCCTTTCCCTTTCATCTGTCCCAGGACATCTGGGCAGTTACTCTTTTGTTCCTCTCACATAATGAGAGGCCCAATTATTGCTGAGCTTAGGAGGCCTCTGTGGGTGGTGATTTATGTGAGGAGCCTGCTAGGCAATATGGAGGGTGAAAAATAGTTTTATGCCCATGAGAAGTCTTGAGAATTTTACCTCTCTGGTGGTTTCTTTCTACAAAGATTTTATTTTCTCCTGAGGGCACTTCTGAATATTGGAAGATATAGTTATTTCTAAAGCATCAATATCTTCTGTATCAGAGTGTGTAGAAAGGAACATTTTCCTTTATAGAGAGGCCCTTCAAAGTAATCTCAGCTAAATATCACTGCTTTTAACCACATTTCTGAAATTGCATAAAAACAAAACAAACAGGAAATGACCCAGTTTTGATACTTCTTTAACACAGTGTTTTAATTGCATTTTTCAAAGTAATTTCTAAAACTGTGACCTTTATTACCAGGGCTTTTCACTTTTGTTATTAGAAATCATTTGGAATAAAACATTTTTTTTTTCTGGGCTATTTATATGCTCTAAAACAAACCAAAAAAATAGTTCGAGTCTTGTTAGGGCATATCTAAAGATCTCACATATTTATATGAAATCATACTTGTGATTATATAATGTATATACACAGATATATTTCTATTGTATATTGTTGTTATGAGAACACAGATTTAATACCCCAGCTTCATGCTGTTCTTCTCTGTACCACTGGACCCTCCCAGTTGGAGTAGCTGGCTTCAGCGATGGCTGACTAGTCAGATGTCTGCCTCTGCCTGTCGTCGCAGACAAGAGCTAACGCTGGCTCACATGGCATCCCATGTCCAAAGACAAATGCAGACAGACTCTTCTGAAGCCTGGTAAAATAGGAGTGACCTGGTATGCTGGCTGGAGAGCCACTGCTCGTCTTCTTAACAAAGCTTATCTTTGGCACAATAACAGATCTTTTAGGATTTGAAAGACCAGCCGGGCACCATGGCGCACACCTTTAATCCCAGCACTTGGGGAGGCAGGGGCAGGTGGATCTCCATTCTCTCTGAGTTCAAGGCCAGCCTGGTCTACAAAGTGAGCCCAGGACAGCCAAGGCTACACAGAGAAATCCTGTCTCAAAAAAAAAAAAAAAATCAGAAGAGCTCAGTGATGTGCAGGGCAAGGCTGTGTGTGTTTGTGTATGTTTCTTTTATTTGTTGATTTTTTTTTCCCTTTCTCAAAACATGGCATAGCTGTGGTAGGATAGGTTGGTTAGTTTGGTTTGGTTTTTGGTCATGGAATAATCCTCTGGATGAGTACATCTGAAAGTAAAAGTGATGAGTGCTTGTCTCTGCTTTATGTGGTGTGGCATGACTTATCCATGTTCCACGCCCTTCTGAAATCTGAAATGTGACTTAGGGCAATTTGATTTGTGAAACATGGTGGGTACATGCTCAGCTCTTGGTCTTGATACTGCCTGACTTGTAGACATTTGCAAAGCTCAAATCAAGTGGTACAGGATTCATTAAGGTCCCTCTCATCTATAGTGCAAGGTCCGCCCATACTGGGAGGCCCCATCTGTGTGTGTGGTGTGTGTGTGTGTGTGTGTGGTGTGCTGTACGTGCTGTATGTGATTCCCGGAGTCAGTGTGGGGACTTGTGGAGAGAAGGCAGGGAGAGCCTGTTACACAGGAGGCGATGGGCGGAGGGGGAGACAGTGCCTTCATCTAGAGTGCCGTGAATACGTGTCATATGCCAGCCTCTGTTCTAGGAAGGAGCCCACGAACTGCCTGTCATGGTGGAACTTCATTCTAGTGAGGAGCCATCTTCAAAGGGCTCCTGATAAAGGTGTGATTATTGAGCCCTGGCAGCTATCCTTTGATGTGGTCAGGCAAGGCCAATATTGATAGAGTCCTAATATGTGTCAGGTTACAGTTCTCCAGGGTCAGAGGTCAGCAAAACAAACAGAAATCCTTACCACATAGCAGGAATGTCTCACCTTGGAGAAGAGGAAATACAGTGAATAAGAGTTGCTCAAAGAGAGGGGAAGATCCTGGAGAGAAAATAAAGCATGGAAGAAAGCCTGGGACATGGGCATGCCCAAAGAAGGCTGGGCAGTTTCAAGGGGAAGGGCAGTGAGACTGTGAAGTGGTACTTGGTTCGGAGCCTGAGGACCCAAGTTCCTTTCTCACTGCCATACGATAGACGAAGAGAACTGACTCCCCCAAATTTTCCTGTGACTTTCAAGAGTGCACTGAGGTTCTCTGTGGCACCCCCTCTCCAGAGTAAATAAATAAAAATGTAAAGCAGTGATAGTGAGAAGAGGGTTCACTGAGATGAGACTTTGGCCTCACATTTTATGCTGGAGACTGGAGCTCATCCCTAAGCTTGCTGTGCCCAGCTTGCCTTGTCCATCTAGCTGTTCCCCAGTTATCAAATAAGTTCCTTTCTGCTGCTCTCTGTGTTTGGTGGCTCAGTGTCCTACTGCAGGGATACAGTGTAGAATTAGCTTAATTAACATGTGAATTAGGGAAAATTTATGGAAAGCCATGTGCACCAGAATAATTCAGGCGGTTCTTGTATACACATAGTCTAAACCTGTGGCTGAATATTTATAGCGTTCAACTGTGCATACTTGGTAAAGTAATAATAATAAATTATAGCAATAGCAATGACACTAATTAAAAAGACCAAATTAAAAAGAATAAGAGAAGCAATTTAAATAGCTCAGGATTCATTATCTGACTCTGCAGTGAGAGTCTGTCACAGAGTACGTCAGCAGTGGGGCTCCACGACCCCCTTCTCTTCCACCTTTGTAAGTCACCCAGAATGACGCTGGAGTTCAGAAACACAGGTCTTTCATGGTGAGCGTGCCTTTCGCTTTGTGAACTGCTTTATCAAGTCCCACGTGAAAAGTGGCAGCAGAGACATGATAGACAGACATCAGACACACACACACACACACACACACACACACACACACACGCCCACAAAATTGAACTGTC